TCAGGTGGAAGGAAAAGTTGTGTGACCTGGATTAGAAAGAATTTTACTAGAAGAATGGCTTGGATTTGTTTGCACCTACCAGATAGAAATGGGAGAAGAGCTTCTCTCAGAAGTATTTGGGAGAGGGTTGTAAGGAGTTCTGGAGAAAGCATCTCCTGAGGCCAGCATGGACAGCCACAGGAGCTTCAGGAGAAACATTTAAGTCAGGTTTAGATTCGCCCTAGATTGTAGTACTTTGAGTTCTCCATCTCTTAGGAATCTGATGGCATTAAGGCATCAGCCTCTACTCTCAAGGCAGCATTCTTCATGTTTTCCAAACAATTTGGGAACTGCAAATCGCTGCAGATTTCTCAGCTCAGTAATTATGGTGTTGCCTCAGCATTTTTCTATCAGGATTCTTCAAAGCCCTTTAGATTCTCTCCCCAAATGCAGCCATCCATCCTCCTCCAAGAAATCCCAGACCTTACTGATTATTACCAATAAAATTATTGATGTTGGAAATGCTGATACAGGAAGATGAGGCTATTTAGGAACATTTTACCAGATGCTGGTTGAGCGATACTGCATCATTTCATGCAGCACATCACAAAACCTCTTTCTTCCCTGCTGTGTTAAATTGTTACTTTCCCTGAGGGAGAAACATGGTTCTTCACAAATCTGGCCTGAGAGGCAAGTGGGGAAAGAGTGTGGGAATAGCAGAAAACATCAAGGATTCCCATTTCCCTATTCTCTGCTTCTTGTGAGCAATCTTGCGTGGCTTTTAACCACTGCCACTCATTTTCTGAAGTGCTCTTTCAGTGGCCACATCCTGTGGTGTCTCTGGTTTGGTGACAGCACTCCTAAATACTGAAAGCATTGTCAGAAAAATCAGTCTTGGGCTCCTCTTGGGCTGAAAGAACCAATTTACTGGTCTCCTTCAACAGGCGTAGGATAATTATAGGAAGTCCCTCTGCCACATCACATGGGTATCACATGCAAAAACCATATATCCTACTAATATGCACTGCTTAGGTATCTCTGTTTCTCACACACAGAAAGATGGATCACCCCCAGCCAGGAAAAAAATTGCCTATTATTTTGATAGTTATTTGTTCATATCCCAATTGAATCTGAGGAGTAGATTTTAAGGAAAATAAATTTCACATCTCTCACCAAGAAGCCAAACAGAACTGCAAGATTCATAACAAGAACAATGAATTTATAGCTACTTCAACTTGTTTCAATCAAGTCTAAATATTTCTTCCTTTTCCACCATTTCAAGGAAAGCAATAAACATCAGCAAGCAAGCACAATCCTGTCTGACATCACTTACTGGTCAGATTTTATCCCCAGGTTTCTTGATGAGCTTGTACAGGGGTTTTTCAACAGTGCAAGCCCATTCTGAAAACATCTGTGAGTCACTAAATCAGAGAGATAAAAGACATTAACCCACAAATGAAACACTTATGTACAGGTAGCAATTTTGGGGATAGTTTTCTCTTATGTGTCCTGTGGTCATACTTCATCTTTGCCTCCACTTAGCATTAAAAACAAGATGCTCCAGCATGCAAAGAACCCAGTGAGGATGAAGTGCCTGGATTTACATGGAGCAGGGCATCATACTATGTATGAGCACCAAGAGAGAATTTAAATTAAATTAAATTAAATGGGAAGCTAAGTGGGGAAAGCTCTGTGTTAGGCCTCTGGCAGGACTTCAGTCCTCAGAGAACTCCCTAGCCTCCTCCCCACTCCTTGTAACTTTAAACATGATCTTGTGGCCACCTGGAGAGCCAGCAGAGCTCCCTGTGTGGCTGTGGGGAGAAGCCAGGGCACCACTTCCTTGGCTTTGTGGCTGCAGGTGACTCATGCACGCACCTGTTTCCTCTGCAGCCTCTCACCTCTCTGGGTGGACAGACAGGGTTTTACCAGGAAACGCAGGTGTCCAGAAAAACAATTATGGAGATTTGAATTGACCAAATCCTTCACCCTTCCAGAAAGCAAAACTGGCTACAAATCTTTTCCAAGTTTTCCTCTGATAAATCCGCAGGACACCACATGCCTGGTGCGTGCCTGTGAGAGGATTTGCCTTTATGCAGCCACACAGAAGTGCAGCATGAAGGAGCAGGGCTGCCTGCTTCTCTCACAGGGCTCATGGCACACTTTGGAAAGGAAAGCCCTTTAAAAAGGCGTTTTCCCTGTCCCACAGCACTGCTGGGCTTGTGAGCTCTTGCACACGCATGGTTATTTGGTCTTCTAGTATAAAATGCACCCTTCTAATCTGCTTGGGCCAGCAATGCCCTCCTGCCCCCCACCATTTGCTGAGATTTACTTTACAGAAGGCTTCAGAATCCAGCCAACACACATCACAAAATTGGTGGGAAGAATCGTGATTCATGGATTTTTTTAATTAATAATGTTCTTAATTTTACCCAGGAGGTCACGCCTTGAGATTCTTTCAGACCATCACAAAAGAGAACAAGCTGGCTGGGAGCAATAAGCACCATCTGAGAATCCTCCCATAACTCAGACTGTTTACTTTTCAGTTTCACTCAACATCATCCAAGCACATGTCCCTTTTCCCTCAAATCCTTTCAGCTGTTTCTTCCTCTGAAGTTGCCTTCCAGGGAAAGCTCTAGAGATCTTTGCCTTCAGAGCAGATTCACCTCCTGGTTTCTCTTCCCTCTGTGGTGAAAGTATAGAGCAGGCTGAGGTCCTCCTACCCCACAGCTTGCTTTAGGAAGAGACACGTGCCTGTGATTCTTTTTACCTTGGTAGACTTTTCCTAAAGCCTCAAGGTTTAGAGGTGGGGGTCTTGCAGCAGCACAAGTCCTTAACTCCAGGATGGGAGAGCACATCCCAGGAACTTGGTGCCAGCACTGGCACCACATGGCTTCATGTTACAGCCTTTTGTGGTGAGAAGTCCTCCCAGCAGCCATGTGTGCAGCGGGCTAGGAACTGCTGTCATTCCAGGAGCTTCTGAGAAACCATGTTGGGTCCTGGAAGGAAAAAAACAAACATGAGTTTCAGTAATCTGCAGCATTTTCCAGTCTATGACATTTGTACATGGAGGGACCTTACCCACACAGATGGCCCCAAGCTGTAACTATATCAAGTCACTCACATGACCAAGACTTTGCAGGATCTCAGCCTCAGGGGCTACCAGGAGTCCAGCAGGCCTGAGAGACGGACAAAAAACTCTCACAGATCACATTCAGGATCAAAACACTACTCACCAGAACAAAGCACAGATTAAGTGATACCAGCCCAGATGACGCAGACCCCAAATAAGGGCAAATAAAATATTTTTCTGCTTTCAGAACACCATCATGTGATGTGGCATCTCTTCCTGCAGAGGCCATGGAGAAGTATATCCACTATCTGCTCTCTGCCTTGGAATTGCCCCAGGAAAGCTGGCCTGGCTGGCAGTGTAGGGTGCCTAACTTCCAGACTATTAAATTACACTGCAATCAATGCAACTCAAGAATGTACTTAATTTGAAGTAAACACCTACAGACTGTGATGAACTGGGATGCTGCATTGCTCAGCACACTTCTTTGGCTGATTTGTTCACTAAGGCAATATCTCAGAGGGAAAGAAATTACAGAAACCTTCTAAAACCTTCTAAAACCTTAAATAAAGGAAAGATTGTTGCACTTACATTAAAATTACCAAGTTTTTAAGACCCAGTTTCTTAGGGCCTTACAGAGATAATGCACTCAGTTTGACTCTTTTATAAACACCTAACCTGGATAAATTAAAGGGAACATATAAACCAAGATCTTCTATCACTTGCCAATACAAGGTGCATTATTGCCCCAGGCCTCAGAGAAAACTGCAGCTTTGCATTCCCACTTTTAGTTAAGCTAATGAGGAGAAGAAGGAAGAGAATTTTTGAGGTGGGTTCTTCTTCCTTTCATTTGAAGAGTGGTTGCTGAGCTGTGCAAAGCCTCTGTGCATAGCTCTGCGAGCTGAGTACCTCAGCACCCGAGTTCCTAGAGACTGCACTGCTGAAAGGAGAGGTGAGTTCTTCCTATATCCTCCCTGGAAGCTGGTTAAACACTCAGTTAGCAGAGGGCCCTCTGAACAAGAGATGTGGCATTGCACTGGGTAGAGTTTGCAAATGCTTCCCAGTTACCTGTTTTGTTCTCTTCTTGTTTTGTTGCAAACCATGAAGCTCCTCAGGGAGGCTCAGGCTCACAGGCACTTTCATGATTTGGCTGCCCATTCTTCTCACCAGCCACATGCCAGCATGCATTCAGTGACTTCATGGTGTGGCTGCTTTGGGGGAGCTAGACTGCAGCTGCTTCTGTAGGATATAAATATTTTTTGCAGTCAAGGGGCTCCAGCAGTCCAACAGGGTCAGGGACACCTGGGCTCTATTCCTGGCTCTCCTGCAGACCTGCTGCATTGTTTCCCTCCTTTCAGTAGCTCTAAATGAAGACCTTTTCCTGCCAAATTTGTTTTCTTAGGTGTGAGGCTTCCACTTGAAAATATGAGGCACAGTAAGGAATTTGGGGTGATGAGACTGGCCTGTGAATGTAAGTCCAGGCATTCATTTGGCAACAAATCCCACAAAAGCCATTGCACTGGTGGAACACCACGAATGGCTCACAGGCCAACCTTACACCATTTACCAGTTAGCCATCTGCTCCCTTCAGATATTATTTTATGGCTTTCCTTTGTTTTCACTAAGGCCCAAACAGGAATGAAATCGTGGGCCCTTTTAAATAAATAGTTCTGCCATCACTCTAATAAGTTTGACAAGTTGGTCACAGGCCCTGGGCAGGAAGCTAATAAACTTCAAGTTGCTTTTCTATTGTTTTCCTAAAACAATTTGACTTCCTTTCTGATAGCCTCAAATTCCTTCAATAAAAATAGAGTAGCTGGGAGCCAGAGGAAGAGCTGAACCTGAGCCAAGTTGCGCTTACAATGCCGCCTGCGTAAGATCACATTTTATCCTGATCCACGAAGACCCTTTAAAAGAATAGCAAGCAGACAGCTGCCAGTGCATGTCAGGAACAGCTCAGGAGCGAGTCTCCCCCAGCACTGGTCCTCCAGGCTGGAGGGGATGTCCAGCCAGTGAGACAGTGTCAGACCACAGGCTGAGCTCCTGGGAGCTGACGGGGCTCCGCTCACCCTGCCCCGAGTGTCCTCCCCCAGACACTTCAGGATCTCTTCTGGGAGCCGAACACTGGCAGAGAGGTGGGCTCCAGCAAGACCAAAGGGCCGTGCTAGAGCTCTCCCACCCTTCAGTCAACTTTACCTGTTCCTCTCCCTACCTGTGCAGGCTCAGCAAAAAGAGGTAAAGATCTGTTCTTTCTTTTCTTCTTTCGGAAACATATTTATGTGGATATGTATACACACATATTTCTGTCAAGCAGCAATCCATCTAGCTGGAAGTTTGCAGGACAAGATGAATGTCTGGTGGCTAGGTAGAGGAGGACTCCTTGCTTAAAAATGACTTGCTGATCCTTTGGACAAATCCTTTATGCCCTCCATGGTCTGGTTCCTCCACCTGTAAAACAAGGAGGGTGTTTATAGGAGCTGCAATTTCATTATCATCTGCAAAGCACTTCTCAACTACTCAGAGATGCTGCAGACTTGAGAAGTGGAAGCAGGAGGGGTGAGAGGGCCGTACTTTGTTTGCAGTAACATCAAGCTGACAGCTGAGCATTTACTTTGGGATAAATGGCAATTTCTCCTCAGTGAGATGAAAACCTCTTCCAGTTTTCCTTGCTGAAAACTTTACTGGCAAATGAGTCTAACACAGAGTGATATTTCATAACTTGCTGTTTCTTGTTTCCTCTTTTCTCACTCTGTGCTAGTATGGTACTCTGGGTTGGGGAGATGAAAACATCCATCCATATGGAATAATTTGGGGTTTTCTACTAAATGAGGAACTGTGACTATAAAACTGTTCTTATTCAGGGGCCTTTGCTACTCCTCTTCCCTTGGGCCCAGCCTGTCCTTGGGAATTTGCTTCCTGCTGGAGGATGCCTTCAAGCTGTCTCCAGAGGTCTAATGTATAACAGAGAACTTCCCTCTCTGGCCTTCTCTTTCAATCATATCCATGCATGGGGATTTGAGATAAAGTGTCTCATCAGGAAGGTGCCATCCTTTGGTGCTTTAGAGAAGGTACTAGAGGTGCCTGTCCAGCATGGAGCATTATGAAGAACCAGAATAAGTGCAGTGCTGTGGCCAGGCAGCAGAGATTAACTCAACCACTGTTTGGTGGTGTTTTTTCCTGAATTTTCCCAATGCAATAAACCTGACATCCTCCTCAAGGACAAAGTCCTTGGTAATGGCAGGAATGTACAAGATATTTTCCCTTCAGACAATATCTTTAAGATTCCACATCTCAAGAGAGCATCTAGCTGGATTTGAAACAGCCTTCCAGCATAGCCAGCTGCTCTGGGAACACCTATTTTATGTGAAGAAGCTCTTTCATATGTGAGCTCTCGTCTGTACTACTGTACATTTGCAGACCTTCTCCATGCATTGTATTGGCTTGCTCTTTTTGTTTGTTTAAATCTCAGGCACAGAATGAATCCCTCCATTAAATATCCATGGGATCAATGCTCAAAAACTCATCACACAAACTCTGCTCCAGATTTACCTGGCTTTTGTATGTAAGGCTGCAGATCTAATAAGGCACTATGACAGGTACAGGAAATAGAATGAAAAAGGGACCTCTTGGTTTATCAGGTTCAGTCCCTTTGAATAACAGGCAAGTACAAAACAAATGGCCTTTTCTAAACTTACTAAACTCTGTCCTAAATCTCATTAGGTTTCCACCCTAACTTGTGGTGCTAAAATGCTGTTCCAGCACCTCCTTGCCTGCTCTGTTGCTTAGAAACCTTCTGATTTCCAACCTAAATTCATTCATGGACAATTTATATCTATTTATTCGTGTGCCACATTGTCCTTTAGCTTATGTAGCTCTGCTCTCTCCCGAGCACTTACTTTCCCAACCCCCAATTCCTAAAAGTATTTATAGGCAGCAAATCTCTCCTCTCTTAACCTTTGTTCTGCCAGACTAAGTAACTAAGCTCCCTTATAGTATTCACCCTGCAGGCACATCACACCATGGTTTAATTACTTTGTGTAGCTGCACTAGCATGAAGTTCAGTGCAAAATAATTAATGCTGAAAAGCTCAAGCCGGTAGCACATCTATTTTCAAATCAGCTCAAATATCTCTGTGCAGTCACTGCTGTGACTGATAAGCAAACACACTGTTGGCCGAGACACCTTCCATCCCTCTGACCACGCCACTGCCTTCCTCTGTACCTGCTCCAGGCTGAATATCCTCCCTGCATGTGGGGGAGCAGCACTGCAGACACTATTTTGGAGAAGTCTCATCCTCTTGTATCACATTACTTCCACTCACTGCAACTGGAAATACTGCTACATCCTCAAAGTTTGCTTGCCTTTTTCACCCCCACATAGCATTGCTGGTTCCTCCTCCTTTGAACCAGGAACCTTCCCTATCTTTCTCCATCTCTCTCTCCTGGGAGATGGAGACTCCTGTTACTCTTCAAGCAACAAGTTCCTAGTGTGTGATTTTACACTCTCCCATTTATCCTCACCTTGATCACTCCAGTCACAAAGAGCCTTCAGCTCTTGTAGTGCTGGAATCCACCTCTGCCCTCATGATACCTCCCAGCTTGGTTTCATCAGCAGATTTCATTAGTATTTCTACATTCTGTGCCAAGGTAATTAACAGAAATATAAAAAAAGATCAGTCCTAAGAGCAATCTTTAAGTAGCCTCACAGATAATTTCCCTTCAACCTATTAAGGAACTGGTGTATCAATTCTGTCAGTCTCTTACTCACTTGAGGATTTATTTAATAATCCCTGTCTTCTTCAGCTGAATCTTCTACACTAATTTGCTTCTTCTGGGACACCATATCATATGGTTTACTGAACTCCAGGTAGATAAAGTCTGCTATGTTTCTTTTACCTAGGGGGTCAGGAATCCTAATCCAAGAAAGCTCTTAAGTTTTGATCAAAAGATAGTACATGTTGTTCTATTTTCCCTTTGCCTCCCGGTCTTATTTCTGCTTTCCTTCGAAATGCATTGCGCAGCCTCACAAACTGCTGTGATCTGTGAGCTGTACATGGCAAAGCTGTCAGCTGTTCTCCTCATTCCCACTGTCTGGGGGAGCATTCTCTTCCACTTGCTCTCCTCACTCAAGTCAGACAAGTTTTGCATAACAGGCTTTTGGGGAGGGTAGTTCAAAATTCTTCTTCCCTGCTTAAATTGAGCAAACCAGCTATTTTTCTGGCTGACGGGCTGGAGAAGCTGCCAGGACACCTCTGTCTTCCCTTGAAGAGAGTGCAGTAGAGAAGGGATGATATATTGAGGGGCTGGCTGAAGTATCCATACAACATCTCTACTCCCCTGTCTTTTGCCTCCCTGTCTGCCTTCTACCATTTCCTTTCCATGCATCAAAATCCAAATAGTTGCCACCAGCACCAAAACAGAAAGAGCTCATAACAGGTACGTCCTGTGCATCACGCATGTGTTGGACAGAAATCTTCTCCCCTCCCTCATACATTCAGCAGAACCAGACTGTATCTGCTGGGTTCAGGATTACCTCTGTATGCCACTCAGGAACAACACTTGGGCAAGAAACACAAAGGAGTGAGCAGGGAGAATCAGCCCTGATCACCCTGGGTGTACAGCCATGCAGGGAGGTGAGTGTAATTCAGACAGCTCTCTCACAGGACCTGTCTCTCTACAGCATGTGAAAAACACTTGACAAGCCTTATCCCTAGCCTATCCCAAAGCCATCTGTGAGCTAGACCTGTATTATTAACACCTTTTTTTTGGACATTTCTATGATGAAGTCCTTGACAATCTCGCTGGCATAAAATCAACATGAGTTTACATAATAATGCTTCATGGAAATTACTCTATCTAGAAGGACAAAAAGCTGGAATGATATTCTCCTTCCCGTGAATTTCCATTGCAGATACACAACTGCCACACAGGAGAGGGAGAAACAACTCCAGAAGCAATTCTATTTTCTTAAAAGCCACAGAAGGGCTTCCAATAAAGTTAGAAATGAAGCAGCAGATGACTATATGTGTCTCCATACCAGGTGGTTACTGAGCTGCTGTGGGAATTTACTGTGCACTCTTTGTCCAGCATCCTGCACTAACCACCAGTGAGGATACAGCACTCATGAAAAAGAGTTGCACTCCTAACTTCAGAGTGACAGTGTCCACACAGGACATGCTTCCAGAGGTAGCCTCTGCACAGCACTGTCCCTTTGTAGACTGGCTTTCAATCTTGTGACTAAAGGAGGTATTAAATTAGTGGGAGAAAAACTATTAGAAGAGTTGCCAGCATTGTGTTTTAGTCCTGGGACTGCTTTTGTTTTATTATCTGCACTCACTGATGCAGAGAGACCATGAGGAAATGTTCTGGGTGGGAGATACCTAGCCTGGGAAGGATTGCTGGAGGGATAACCACCGGAGCTTGTGTGCAGCAAGTCGGTTCTCAGGTCAGCAGAGTCTTCTGTGCAAATCTCGCTCTCCTGCCTTCGGTTCTTTGAGACCTTTATCAAAGCCAGAAGGCATCTCTGATTCTGCCTCCTCGCTGAGCCATTTCTGATGTGCAGGCCTCAGAGGCTCAGTTTGACACATACATGAAATACAAGACCTTCAGACACTTGCTATGTCAAAGATGTTTTTAAGAGAGGCCCGAATGCTCGTGCGTCTGCGTGTGCGGGGAGGTGGAGGTAGGGTAGCATGACAAAAAACACCTCTCTTGACAGGCAGATTATTTATCAGTACAAGGACATGTAAAAAGTCTCTGGGAAGCATTTGGTGCCCTTTAGGACAAGGCTGCAGCTTTGCTGGGCCCCTGGTCCAAGCCAGCAGAGCACGTTCTGTGTGATTTGAAGTGGTGGAAGACCCCGCTCCACATGAACTCTGCATTGCCAGATTAAGCTTGAACAAGTCAGAAATACGTCCCTTGTTGGTTGAACTATCTTTTGTCTTGCATGGAAAAAGCTTTCCAGGGTCTGGCTGGTGTAACTGTGGGGCAATGCTGTCTCTTTTCATTTGGGGAAGGCTTAGACCGTGGAATGTTATCTGTGGGAAGATGTGCAAAGGAACAGTGACTGGAAGGGACTGCGCGAAGCCGGCAGCGAATGCATCCTGTCGGCATGAGGAGGGTGGCACAGGGAGAGGCTGAGAATGGAGAGGCAGGACTGAGATCCATGGTCTTTAAAGGAAAAACAACAGGAAACCAGGTTTGAAAATAGAAAGATTAGTCTGGAGGGGGTGGGAG